CAGGTAAAAGGATGACAATCAAAATGAAAAGTTTTTATAACAGAAAATAGCTTTGGAAAATAGAGGATGTTTCTTTCTCTGTTTTTAGCCTATAATTCATTCTGAAGATTTACCTTCTTCAAATGACTACTGAAAGTGAAAATTGCAAAATCTGATCACTGAGTTGCTTGCCACGATCTTATTCTATGGTCCTTATTTTCTTTAAAGGGTTTCTAGAGATTTTTGATGATGAGATCAGGCAAGTCACCAGCTGTGTTTATAAAATGGCTGCTTATTCCTTTATTTTTTTGTAAAACGTTTTTTCTTTCAAACTCACTAAAATAACAAAACACTTGAAGAAGATATATATATATATATACATACACACACATATATATGTGCCTACTTTAAGTGAGAAGAAAGGAATGAAAATGGCTTATTTCTTACCAAAAAAAAAAAGAGCTTTTCGAGTATGCTAAAAAATCAGCCATTAAATATTTTTGTCTTACTTAGTGACTTAGGGGAGGAAAGATGATTTAGGAGGTAACAATCATGTGAGTTTCATGTAGTAGGTGATAGATGACATAAGTCTTGAAGACTAAAATATTTTTTAACCAAAAGAAAAAAGGCAGAGTAAAAACATTAAAATGCAGATACATGCAGACGCAAAGACACGGGGAATACTTCAGGGACCTGTGTGTAGTTTAATAAGCCTGGAGTGCAGGATTTGTTTGAAAGGATGGCAGAAGCTCCCGCCCAGACTTTTTTCTTGAACTCTAGACTTACATATACAAAATCCTGGCTGATTGTCCAGGAGTCATTTCAAATATTTAAAAAGCTGAACTCCAGATCTTTAACCCAAAACCCACTCTACCAGCAGTCTTTCTCATCTCAGTTAACACCAACTTTCTCCTCCCATTTTCTCATTCCAGAAACTTAGTTATACCTTGACTCCTCTCACACCCCACATCCAACATATCAGAAAAATCTTGTTGACAGTACGTTCAGAATATTACACATCTATAGTCTTACCATTCGTCACCACCTGTGTGAGCTGTCATTATTTCTCACCTGGATTACTGCAATAGCCTCCTACTGGAGTTCTTGCTTCCACCCTTGCCCCACTGTGGTCTCTTCTCAGCACAGTAACCAGAGCAGTTCTTTTAAAATCAAAGTCAGATCATGCTGTTCCTCTGCTCAGGTGGCACTAGCATGCTTTCTTTACTACTCAGTAAAATCCAAGTCCGTATAGTGGTCTAAAGGGGCCACCACCATGATCACCCTACTACTCCCTACTCCTTCTCGCCGTCCTCATTTCCTTCTTCCCTCCCTCTTACTCACTCTGCTCCAACCACACCAGTCTCCTAATAATCTGTGAGCGCTCCAGGCACACTTCCACCTTGGGACCTTTCCACACCAGATGTTTTTTTCTGCCTGGAGTAGCCATTCTCCAGATAACTGTATGGCCCACCTCCTCACCTCTTTCAAGTCTCTTCTCAATACTACCTTTACATTAAGGCCTCCCTTGGCCACCCTACCTCCTTCTATACTTGTATTATCTTCATAGCACATATCACTTTCTACTAAACTATATGGTTTACTTATATATCTTTTGTTTGTTTGGTTTTTTTGGTGGCTGGTCGGTATGGGGATCCAAACCCTTGATCTTTTTGTAATATCACTGCACTCTAACCAACCGAGCTAACTGGCCAGCCTTGTTTACTTTTATTTATTGCCCACTTCTCCCTACTACAGTTTAAACTCCCATGAGAACAGCGTTTGTCTTCTTGGCTTTATTTTTTTTTGAGCATGTCTACTTTGTTCACACACATGTGTCTAGAATAGTTTGTGACATAGTAGGTAGTCGATAGCTATTTGGTTAATGAATGAATGGCAGAAGATAAGGTTTGAAATGTTACAGAGTCTTATATGCTATGGTAAGAAATTCCAACTTTGTGTGCTATAGCTATTAGGGAGTACATACTTGCATCTTCTACAAGATTATGAACTTCATGAGAGCAGGGACTATGAGTTTTATTTTTCTTTCTTCTTTCCTTCCCACTCTCCCCCCCTCCTTTCCTTCCTTCTTTTTTGTATTCTTGGTACTTAGTATAGTGCATTACAAGTAATAAATATCCAAAAGTATTTTTTGGGTTGAAATGGATTAAGGTAGAAAGGAATAGCAAAGTTAGGTACAGAAACATGGGAATCATCATAATGCAGCTTCTTTAATTTTTTTTTACTCAGAACTACACTTGAAACCTGGCCTTGATTTTTTTAGTTTCATACATATACATTTGTGTGGGGGGGTATGTGTGTATGTGCATGTGCGCACACACACACCCCCTTACTTTGAGAAGGAGAAAGTGATTATGAAACAAAGAAATGTTTCATCAACAATAAAAAAGTTTTTCAAAATATGAAGTAAAAAATGAAGTCTTTCATTTACAGAGAATTAGAAGAGAAAGCACTTTTTCTTTCTTTCTTTTTTTTTTTCCTTTTTACCTTTTTTCGTGACCGGCAATGGATCGCAACCCTCAGTGTCACGCCCGTACCGGACTGGGA